TCTGGAGTCACCAGCCAGATGCAGAGGGAGCAGGAGAAGAACATGCCCTGCTAATAAATGTGCCACCATGTGGCAGAGTATAAATAAGGAATATGGGTTAAATTAAAATGTACAAGCTAGTTAGTAATAAGCTTGAGCTATATTCTGAGCATTTACTATTAATATAAGTCTCTGTGTGGTAATTTGGGAACTAGCAGGCAGAAGACAAATGCTGAATGACAGGCTGGTCTATCAGGTCAATCTTTACTATCAGACAGCTTTCAAGCCTAAGATGAAGGCAGGGTGATTCATCAGGTGGTCTTAATATGTAGTTTTGACCAATTTGAGAGTTGATATGTAGACCACAGTGGCCTCCAACTCATAGACATCCACCTACCTCAGCCTCCCAAGTGCTGAGATTAAAGGATTGCATCACCTCACCTGGCCTCAAAACAATATTTTTAAAGTTAGTTCTGAAGAAATAGAGTTGAAGAATGAAAGGGAAGATGTTAAAACCACAATATCCTCTAAGAGACAAGGAAAGTATACTTAATTCCTAAATTAAAAAACACAAGCATCTCTTGGGATTAGAAAATACTATAACAAATTTTAAGTGTATATATCATTGGGCATTTACAGAAAGTTTCTCAGAAAGTAGAACAGAAGAAGAGATGGAAGATGACAAAGAACAAAATGTTTTAAAAATACAATGATTTCATTTTTTTAAAATGACTAATATTCCATTGTGTCAGTATATCCCATTGTCTTTATCCATTATTCTGTTGATGGGCTTCTAGGTTGTTTCTACTTTCTGCCTATACTGCAGTTAACATGTTTGAACAAATGTCTCTGTGGTAAGATGAAGTATCATTTGGTGTATGCGTAAGAGTAGTATAGCTGGATCTTGAGGTATATCAATTTCCACTAGCTGAGGAATAGCCACATTGATTTTCATAGTGGCTATACAGGGTTATACTCCTACCAGCATTTATGAATTTTCAACATATTACATACCCTTACTAGCGATAACTGCACTTTTTATTGATCTTAACAATTTGGACTGTTGTTAGAGGACATCTCAAAGTTGTTTTGATTTCATTTTTGTGATGGCTAAGGATCGTGATATTTTTTAATGTTTCTCAGCCATTTGAATTTCTCCTTATGAGAATTCTCTGTTTCAATATGTACCTGAGTTTCATTTGGGTATATGTTTTCTTGACATATAGATTTTTAGTTTAGTTTTGTTTTTACCTCTTTATACATTGACATTACTAGCCCTTTACTGGAAGTGTAAGTAGCAAAAATATTTTCCCAGTTTGAAGGCTACCACTTTGAATGATGATGTCCTTTTCAGGTTAGTATGATCCTTTTTCTTAATTGATGTTCTTGATGCCTGTGCTAATGTTGGAAACATCTCCCATGCTCATGCTTCAGTGGGATTAATAAAGTATAATTCGTTCCCATAATAATAGCAATCTACAGATTCAGTGTGATCCCCATAAAAATTCCAGCATACTTCTTCAGGATCCTGAAAAGACAATTTTCAATTACATGGGAAACACAATAACACCATGATAGCTAAATAATAACCTTTTAAGTTATCACTATACCAGGGCTTAAAGTGAGCTACAGAACTAGAGTAATAAAAACAGCATTGTATTGGCATGGAAACAGAAACTTGGATGAATGATTGAATTGAAGACCCAGATGTAAAACTGCAAACCTATGGATTCCTCATTTTTTGTTTTGTTTAAAAATAAGGATACTAAAAATACACAGTGGAGAAAGAAGACAGCTTCTTTAACAAATGGTGATGGTCTAACTGGATGTTTTCTGGAGATTAATACAGCTAGATCCATAGCTACCACCCTGCACAACATTTGAAATGGATTAAAGACCTAAGCAACATGCAGATAACAGCGAACCTTATGGAAGAATTAGTGAGGAAAAGCCTTGAATTCATTTACTCAGGAAAAGACTGTCGAAGATGTTCTCTTTGTTCCATTGTATAAATTTAGATTGTTTGTCAAAAATCAGGTGTTCATAGGTGTGTGGGTTAATATCAGGGTTTTCAATTCTATTCCATTGGTCTACCTGTCTATTTTTGTGCCAGTACCAAGCTGTTTTCAGGACTATAGCTCTGTAATAGAGCTTGATGTCAGGGATGGTGATGGCTCCAGTAGTTCCTTTATTGTACAGGGTTGTTTTGGCTATCATGGGTCTTTTCTTTCTCCATATAAAGTTGAGTATTTTCCTTTCAAGGTCTGTGAAGAATTGTGTTGGGATTTTGATGGGGATTGCATTGAATCTGTAGATTGCTTTTAGCAAGATTGCCATTTTTACTATGTTGATCCTACCTATCCAAGAGCATGGGAGATCTTCCCATTTTCTGGTATCTTCTTTAATTTCTTTCTTTAGAGACTCAAAATTCTTATTGTACAGGTCTTTCACACTTTTGCTTAGTGTTACCCCAAGGTATTTTATGTTGTTTGTGGCAATTGTAAAGGGTGATGCTTCTCTGATTTCTTTCTCCACCAATGTGTCATCTGTATATAGTAGGGCTATGAATTTTTTAAGTTATTCTTGTATCCTGCCACTTTGCTGAAGGTGTTTATCAGCTATAGGAGTTCCCTGGTAGAGTTTTTCGGGTCACTAATGTAGACTATCATATCATCTGCAAATAGTGAGACTCTGGCTTCTTCGTTTCTGATTTGTATTCCCTTGATCTTCTTTTGTTGTCTTATTGCTCTAGCTATGACTTCAAGGATAATATTGAAGAGGTATGGAGAGAGTGGACAGCCTTGTCTTGTCCCCGATGTTAGAAGAATTGGATCCAGTTTCTCTCTATTTAATTTGATGTTGGCTGTTGGCTTGCTGTATATTGTTTTTATTATGCTGAGGTATGTTCCTGTTATTCCTGATTCTCGAAGACCTTTGTCATGAAGAGGTGTTGGATTTTGTCAAAGACTGTTTCAGCATCTAGTGAGATGATCATGTGCTTTTTTTCAGTCTGTTTATATGGTAGATTACATTGATGGATTTTCGTATGTTGAACCATCCTTACATAGCTGGGATGAAGCCTACTTGATAATGATGGATGATTTCTCTGATGTGTTCTTGGATTGTATTTGCCAGGATTTTATTGAGAATTTTTGCATCAAAGTTCATGAGGGATATTGGTCTGTAGTTCTCTTTGTTAGCTGTGTCTTTGTGTGGCTTAGGTGTCAAGGTTATTGTAGCCTCATAAACAGTTTGGCAATGTCCCTTCTGCTTCTATTGTGTGGAACAACTTGAGGAGTATTGGTATTAGCTCTTCTTTTGAACTTCTGGTAGAATTCTGCAGTGAATCCATCTGGTCCTGTGCATTTTTTTTTTTGCTTGGGAGACTTTTGATGTTTGCTTCAATTTCCTTAGAGGTTATAGGTCTGTTTAAGTTGCTTATCTGTTCTTGATTCAATTTTAATAAGTGATAACTGTTCAGAAAATTGCCTATTTCTTTTAAATTTTCTAATTTTGTGGAGTTTTCAAAGTACGACCTGAAAATTCTCTGTATTTTCTCAGTGTCTGTTGTTATATCCCCCTTTTCAATTCTGATTTTGTTAATTTGCATGTTCTCGCTCTGTCTTTTGGTTAGTTTGGATAAAAGTTTGTCTATCTTGCTGATTTTCTAGGAAAAAAAAAAAACTCTTTTTTACATTGATTCTTTGAATTGTTTTGTTTATTTTGATTTGATTGATTTCTGCCCTCAGTTTGATTATTTCCTGGCGTCTGCTCCTTCCATGTGAATTTGCTTCCATTTTTTCTAGTGCTATCAGCTGTGATGTCAAATCTCTGGTGTGGCTATTTTCTAGTTTCTTCATGTGAGCACTTAGAGCTATCAACTTTCCTCAGTACTGCTTTCAAAGTGTCCCATAGCTTTATTGATTTCTGCCATCAGTTTGATTATTTCCTGGCATCTGCTACTCCAAGGTGTATTTTCTTCCATTTTTTCTAGAGCTTTCAGCTGTGATGTCACCTCTCTGGTGTGGCTATTTTCTAGTTTCTTCATGTGAGCACTTAGAGCTATCAACTTTCCTCAGTACTGCTTTCAAAGTGTCCCATAAGTTTGGGCATCTTGTGTCAACATTTTCATTGAATTCTAGGAAGTCTTTCAT